CGGCCCTACGCTCGATCCAGAACCCTGTCACATAGACATGTACATGTTTATGTACAAGTAGATAAACAAGCAAGTTAAATAAAAGAGAAAGACAGGGAAAACGAGAGAGAGCGAGAGAGAGAGAGAGAGACCAGACAGAGAGCCACCAAGCTCAGCAAACCTGGACCTTCAGCAATTTTGCACCACAACTGCGTAGTGATACCCTTGTCGCCGTTACCTGTGCAACCTGTGGTGTAGCGGCCTTAAGACTTAGACTTGGGCTTTGGGGTACGTTAGGTCAAGGTTATGTAGGGACTAACGATACTCATCCTAAAGCGGGCAGCAGGGGATGCTACTAGTTCTCACGACGGTAATTCGTTCGTCCACCCACAACTGCCAGGGAGCACCCTAGCCGACCTCCAGCTGACGGAATGTTGGATGAGGGGCCTGCGCACGCAGGTGCACTGGATCCGGAATTCCGGGGTTGCCCTGAAATTCTGGAGTTGTGACGTAGTATTCTGGATTCAACCCCCTATTATTTTATGGATTGTTCCCTTCCATTATCGTCGCATGACTTACTATTTTGTAGGGTTGGGGGTTACAGGAAACTTTTGTGCGAAAGTCGACGACTGAGATCTCCACTTGTTCAGCAACAGAAACTTACTTTAACCCATGACAAGAACAGCCTCTGATCTTTTAATAAACCCAGAAGCCTGCACCTGCGCCCGTGTTCAAAACCAAAACAGCGGGCCCAATTAAATCCAGTATGGTTTTGGCGGTGCAGATTAAAATGCAGGAACCCTGAGAACTCGCATTCGTGAGTAGAAAGAGACAGGGGCTACAACGGAATCTTGTTTCTAATTATTCCGACTCCTATATTATGGGACCCAAAAAAGACATAAGCATAAGCATTTTATAGGGATATCGTTACCTTATTGGGCTTCATTGTAAGGGGATTTATATGGGATATCCCTATCCTAATTTTTGCTTATGTGCTTTTTTGGGGCCCTATAAATTAGGCCGTGCATGTCGGGGCATTGCCTCTGCTTGCTCCGAGTCTGCAGCGGCGGCCCTGGGGAAAACAACAGCAACAAACCAATATAACTAATCTGTATCTATGTATACACACGCGTAGTAGGTATGTATGTATATATATATATATGTATGAATGTATGAGTATATACATATACATATATACACATATATATGTATATATGTATACGTATATGTACATAAATGTTCATATGCCTTGTGCAGGCAAACTCCTGGGAACCACCGAATGGGAGCCACCGACGTCAACTTCACAGCTGCGATCTGTCGCCATACTACGCTTCGAGGATCATGCGATTTAGCAACTAGGGTTTAAGGGTTCCATTTAAGGGATCTGTTTAGGGTTTAGGATACTTCGAGGATCATGCGACGCACCTAGAGTTATAGGCAAGGTAACTACTGCGATAATTACTTTTCACCCCAATTCGGGTTTTAGATCGACCGACTATAGGTCATCTGTTTAGGCCTGTTTCTGGCTTGGATACTGCCGGAAGATATTGCGGTTACTACCTGACCCCTATAAAACCTTCCTTTTTAGTAAAGGGCCAATCTGATTTCTTCAAGTTAAAGCAGGATCATGGGACTTGGTATGATACCGAGAAGGGTACTTATAATAAATATTCTTACCAGCCATGTCCACCGATCCTCCAAGTATATGTGACCTGCCAAAGGCCGAGCTCAGTTGCGGGCTCACATTGCTCCAGAAACTCCGCAGCAGCCGTGGTTTTGGCGACCTCGCACAATAAGTCTTCTAAAGAGGACTAAGATTTGGGGCTTTTTTGGTTTACGGTTTTAGGGTTTAGGGTGACAGAACTGTGAGACTACAAACCCGATTGGGCAAGCACGTCCAAGAATGCAAAGTTGGGTTGCTGCTTGCGTGACGTCATGGTCTAAGCTGAGGTGTCTGTATTGCATGCCGAAACGGTTCTTGCCTGGCGGAGAATATTTGCACCCGAACCGCAAAACTACCGGTGCAAGAACATGTCCAAAATATCCGCCTTGACCAGCGTAGTGCTGATAGTATCTGCCTTGTACCCTCAAAGAAACCTGACAGTAGTTTTATCGTGGTATCGAAACGAGCCGATCCGGGATACTGCTTGCCTGCAGCATGTTACTTTAACTCTGCAGGGCTTGTAAGCAAGTTTGTTGAGCAAGCGTTGGACCATCGTGCAACATAGAAGCCTTAACTGTAGAATGGCTTTTTGAGGTGTTATTATTAGTAGAACTATGTTAGGCAACTGTGAGGATTATTCTTGAGACTTATTCGGGCCTCTGCAAACTGACCTTTTGGCTGTCGTAGTCGACCAGGAAAGTGGTGGCAGCCCATGTGCTTCCAGAGGTGGGATGAAGGTAAGTGGGGGAGCCCCCAACAAGAGTTCTTCAACAAGGGATTCTACTTGCCTTAATTGAAGCCTTGCCCCTGGCAGTTGCTGGCTCAACCCGGGCAGGCTGGTTTCGTTTCAGCATGTCGGTGACCATGGCTCAGGCTCTTGTTTTCGGCAACCTAAGCCCAAGCATTAAAAAAAACTGAAACAACAAAGTGAAGCCCACACCTAAAGTCCGAAATCCTCACCGTCCTAACCACCAACCATTTGAGTTTCCACCTTGGCTGCCAGTGCTGGCTCCTGAAAAATGGCTCATGCCGTGGAAGCTTCGGGGGGTTCATGCTGCAAAGGCGTCAGACTTCCGGGATGCTTTTGAACAGCTTTTCAATATCATAACCGCCCCGGACTTCGGAGGAATGCACAATACAATACAAGACAATACAGTACAGTACAATACTGCACCCTACAATTATCATACTACACTATACTATACTCTACTCTAGACTTTATTATAAAGCAAAATTTATTGGCATCTGAAACCAGGCACAAGTTTTCCAACATGTGCCTAGACATTCGGAGTTTCAAAATGCAGCTCGGAGCTCAGCGAGCTTCTGGGGTGTTGCAGGCTAGGCCCTGAATAATGAGAATGGGGTTTTTGAAAGCGGTTCCTCTCAAGAGCTCTACAGAGGTTCGATAGGTTTAGGGTGTGAGGGCCTTCATAAATGCCATAGTTCGGCTTAGGTCGAGGTAAACTCGAATGGAATTTGTTGGTTCAACAACTTCACGTGGCTGACGGTGTATGTAAGCAGGAATGAGTGCAGTGACAAAGATCTCAGAATGCAGTATCTGATGCTATGGAAAATTGTGTTTCATCAACTCAGTGTCCATGACCGCTGTTCACGCCACAGCTGCAATCGGCAAGCCATGTTTGTTCACTTTACTATCACTAGCTTTTTTCAGCTAGCGAGCTCCTTCCATGACTTGGAGCCTATCGTCGCCAGCCTCCACCGTCAGCGTAACTACCACCTCTTCTGCTACTAATGCTTCTGTGCTGCTGCAACTGCTGTTACCATTCGCGGCCACAAGGGTGTTGAAGATAGTTGGGTGTAGGACTCCCTCATAAGTCTCCTAGTGCGAACATAGCCGTTACTGCAACCCGTTGGCGAACGAGATCCCTAATCACCAGAACCTTAAGCCCTCAAACCATCCTAGAACCTTACAGAAACATATAAAGCCTTTACGACACCCAAAGAAACTAAAATGCGCTTCCTACAGTGACGGCGAGTTTTGGCTCCTCCAAAATCTTCTGCGCTGCTGCCTGCCAAAAGGGGCAAAGCATATTGAAAACAAGCGAACTCACTCTAAACCCTAAGTGAACTATCAAGGACCCCTTCTGGGCTGAGGATTTAGGGGGGTAGGCATTCACGGGTTTCATTTCTTCGGGCTTATTGCCTTTAGGAGATTTGTAAATGCTCAGAAACACAGGAGGCGGGAAGTGCTGTCTGGTGCTTAGTCGGGAATGGGGGAATGGATCCCTATGATAGTCCCTTAAGGTCCCTTATAGTAGTCCCTATAATCCATTAGACAGAGTGGTACAGGGGGGTTTACTTTTGGTTTCAGGAGAGCTGGAGCGAGTTGCAAGAGTTCTCTGGCTCTGCGCAGATTCAATGACTCAGCATTTTTGTAGTCCTCCTCGGAATCCCCAAACTCGAATTTGAAGTCACCTTGGCAATCTTTGGAACTTGGAGACTGCGCCTTGAGAAGTTTTATGCTACGAGGCCACTGTTGATCTTCGGTGTTGGGGTGCCCAAGACAGTACCGGAGCGCCTCTAGAAAATGATCATTTAAATTTCCATATGCCTTGATTGAGGCACTTGTACAAGGAGCCAAAATGCCTAAAGATAAGCTGGTCATCCCTACAAGGGGGTTAGGGCTTAACAGTTTATCTTTAAGTGTTTTCAAACCCCTAAACCTAAATCCTAAGCCCTAATCCCTAAACCCGAAGCCCTAAACCTAAACCCTTAACCCTAAACCCCTAAACCCTGGGCCCTGATGGAAGGCATGGAAGGCGCCTTGAGGGCTTTGACCTCATCTGTCTCAGGCTCCTCGCGCGCCCGGATGCCAAGGAATGGAGAGATGGGTAGGAACTAAAGAAGCACGATAATACTAGGGCCTTAATAATTACCTACATTATTTTGGGGGTCCTTATTATTTTAATTATAGTATAATGGCCCCAAAACCCCTTTCTAATTTTTGAGGCCCCTATATTACAGTGTTTATGGCTTTGGCTTCAAGCTTTTGGTTCTAGGGTTCAGCGTTTTGCTCTCTTTTTGGGTGATGCTTAAGGGATTTAGGGCGTAGGATGTAGGTTGGATTTCTACCAAAAACAGTTGCCGGAAGGAACCTTCCTCTATAACAGCCGAGGCTACAGCCCTCCACAAAAGGAGGTGTAGAAGGGGTTTCTGAAAGGGTAGTGGCAGGGCTCCTCTAAAGCATACATTAAGGGTTCCTTATGGCTACCCTGAAGGCTTGGGTTGAATTCAAACGATCCCGTCTGGAAAGCCCCCACATTCAACATCCTGATTGCAATCCTTAACACGGAAAGGTTTGTTAATCACCTTTGTACTTAGAAGCTCCGGGACTTTGTAACTAGTAGGTCTTAAGATGTGCTGTGTCCCCTAGATGACACTCTCTCAATTTTCGCGCTGCTTAAACTTCACCTTCTAAGTCCACACATCCACAGATGCTTCAGAAAACATTACTCGTCTGGTGCTAGCCGCCTGTTGACAGGATGTTCAGGCAGGCTCCGTGGTGAGGCGGTGGAATGCGACATGATGATGAACACCTGTGGCTAAGAATAAACCCATCGGTAGTGTAGAATCTCGGACAGACTCGAAGATGACCCTGGAAGTTGCTACGTGAAGCCACTGGAAGCTGCTATGTGAAGCCACTGCTGGGGTGTCCTGCGGGTGGTGCACGTGCACGCAGAAGCCGCGCTCAAGGGCGGGGCGAGGCCTCACGATTATGGGGTCGGAAAAAAGAGACTAGTAGAAGCCCGAGATAGTCTCCACGGCAGAAAATCAATCTCTTACAATTTGATTGTTGCATGTTCCCTATGTTATCGACAAGCAGGGTCTAACCGAAGCGCCGAAGCAGCTTGGAAGCATGCGAGGATGTGGGAGTTCCCAAACTTTGTTCGTGTGTTTGTTTGCAACACGAATCCTTCTGGTAAAGGGAACCTACATTTAACACCCCTTTTGTGTGAAACTCCCGAGTCAATAGTAGGGAAACGTCAGAAACACACATGCTGTGGGTTCTGTTTACTATGATTTCTTGACGTCTTTCCTGCAGAGGGTAGATTGGTCGGGCGTCGTCAGGTCAGCCTAAGACTTCTTCAAAGTATCAGCAAACGCACCAAAGCGGCCATGGTTATGTAAATAGGTTTTTGCGTATATTGTCCTACTCGTGTAGTAGAGACCATAAGGGGACACTAGTGAATTTTTCGGATCCTTGAATTGGGAAATTGGTACCGATATAGCTAAGATAATTTTGGTAGAAAGTATCCCTGTATAGCCGAAATTAACCATCCAAGCGCCCCAGGCCTCCAATTAGCCCCTAAACCAACACCTTAAACCCTACAAACCTGGCAAGAAACACGGTGAAACTAAGTCCCCGGATCCTTTAAGAAGAGATTCCTCGGAGACCGAACATTTTTGAATCATGAGCGCCCAATCCTGTCAGCAAGCTCACGCTGCCTCAAGCACCGCTGGGGTAGAGCCCTGGCAACACCAGGCCTGTCGGGCTGCAGCATACGTTTTACAGCCAAGTCACGTCAAGAGCTTGGGGTTTGCGGGTTCTTGGGTTCAGGGTTTGGGGGCTTTATGTAGAGTTTACCATGGTTTTTAAGCTTTGCGGCTCAAGCGCGCATGTCGGAGATGTTCTCAAGCATCAGTATACCTTCTTGCAGGCTTAGACCCGAACTTCAGCTCTCTTCGAGGGTTAAGCCATGCTAATTGGCAAGAAACTGGAATCCACGGAGCATCTGCGAGGCCCATGTTAGGGCTGCGAGGGTTTTTGGCCCATGCTCGGGTGTTTCGGGGCCATGGACGAAGGTTTTTGGCCCATGCTCGGGTGTTTCGGGGCCCTGGACAAACCATTTAGGGTTTCAGGGCTTAGGGTACCTAGGGTCTCACAAGTACTTGGCATTTGCTACCGGCATGACAACCGAACAGCATCTAGACTACATCTGAAACGCCAGTGACCCAAAGGAACCACATAATACTGTTGATGATATAAATCCTGCATTACCTTAAGGACCCTAAACTGTGGGAATTATGGTATATTCCTTGTTCTGGGTAATGCAGGATTTATATCATCAACCGTATGACCCTGAGTGCTAGGATCCTGCTTGTGCAAAGCCCTGTCTGCTGCCTCAAGCTTCCAAAGCGCTACCCATGCATGTATCTTTAGGAGTCCCCAGAGACTCCGATACCCTTTAATTAAGGAATATACCTTAAATCATACTAGGGATCCTACTATAGTTTAAGGTATATTCCTTAATTAAGGGATGTTGGAGTCTCTGGGTCCTTAAACTACTCTGCTAGGAAGACCCCTTCAATCATCCAGATCCTTCAGTGAATCTGATCATGATTTCAGATCGTTCGTGGGGTCTGGGAAAGTACAACTTCAGCTAGAAGAAGCCACAGTGCAGTGTGAGGGGGGGTCAGAATCGCTATCTGATTCCTGCCACTTGTCCAGCTTGCCCTGCTGCCCTGCACTTGACCCCTGTGGAACCGCAATCTCTCTGCCACTTGCCTCACGTGCTGCAGTGTGCCCGTCTCCATAAGGGTGATGCAGCCCACGTGCTGGCACGGCATGCCCCGGATTTCGATCAAGTTTCCCACAGCGGACCTGGTTCAACCAGTATGGTCAAACCTTGAGCGCTCGCGTGGTGTCAGCGAAGGCAATCGCCGCTGATTGGGAGCCATCGACGAGGGCTATCGCGTGGAAGTACAAGAGAGTTGCTACAACGCCGACCAAGCGATCTTCGGAAGCCTCTGATATTGCATCACCACTGCGATCATCGGGATCATCGGCAGCATCAGTCTCAGCCTCACTATGAATCATCACCACCTCCATTATCTTATCAAATTTGAATGAACCGAATACCAAAAGTAATAATGCTGGTAGTTAAACCCTAAACCCTCTCAAAGAGCCCAAATACATCCCTTGAAAGACGCACCACATGACTTGGAGGATCAGGGGACTTAGCAAGCGAGGCTATCACTACCCTCGTTGGGGTTAGCAGTCGTCATAACCATAGTGGCCTGATTCATAACACATCACTCATTCTCTTGATCCTTTCATAGTATTTTAAATCCCGAAGTCCTATGGTGCACCTAAGATCCTCTAAGAAGTCCTGCGTTCCACCAAGTACAGCCTTTAAACTCGAAAGCCTTCCCCCCCCCCCCCCCCCCCCCCC